CCACTTGGAGATTTAATCAAGAGTATTCTAAGTCTATCCATTGCAAATTTACAGCATGAAACATGAAATATGACAATCTTGCAAAGTTGAAAATTGGGATTGATGTTTTATTTTGATTTTATTTGGCAATGTTATGTTGTTTGTGTGATTCAAATTTATATTGTAGTATCAACTTTGATGTTATGTTGTTTGTGTGATTCAAATTTATGAATTATGACTAAGACAATTTCTTCTTGTTTGAAATATTTGTAATTTTAATTTTGTGAACAGTACAGGATATATTTGTAATTTTAATTATGTGAACACTACAGAGTATATTTGTAATTTTAATTATGTGAACAGTCTCAGCCTTGAAATTTACTAGAATTTGGTTAATTTTAAAAAATGTCCTTGATGAATGACCTCAATGCCCTAGAATTGGTAAAATAATTTAACAGTGTTAGTGATGAAGGATATTTTTGATGATTTTTTTTGTAATTTTAATTATGTAAACAGTCTCAGCCCTAAAATTTATCGATATTTGGTTAATTTTAAGAAAATTTCCTTGATTAATTACCTCAATGTCCTGGAACTGGTAAAATATTTTAGCAGTGTTGTGATGAGGGGTATTTTTGATGATTTTTTCATTTTATGCATAGTCTCCATTAAGGTCAGTGTTAAATAGACTTGGCAAATGGGCGGGTATGGTCCGGGTAGCAACGGGTCGTGGGTTCATGGGTAAAAAATTCTGACGGGTCGACATTGTCATGATCTGTACTCGCCCGTGTGGGTACAGGTCACCCGTGGGTCACCCGTGAAAAATGCAGCAGCCTTTTATATTTTCCATATTTTTCACTGTTTTTCCATATTTTTGTTATTTTTACTTTTTTTTTTTATTCAAAATTTCAAATTGCATACTAAATTATATTGATTTAAAAACTTGACATAAAATTCATTTATTAAACTTATTAGTTATTAACTTATTATATTAAATAAATGGATGATTAAATTAAATTTGAATTCAATATTAATATTTTTCATATTTATATCAAACTCCACCATATAGATAATAGAATTAATAAACACTAAACATACATAGTAATTACTAATTAGTAAACACTAAACATATAAAATTGTTTAACATTCAACATACATAACATAGTAAACACTAAACAATTAAACATATAGAATTGTTTAACCAAACACACTAAACAAACAAAGCTGCCCTTGATTATGCAATCTCCTTCCCCGACACTTGACTTAATGGCACAAGCAGCTGAACATCATCAATTTCATCTTCTATAATTAACAAAATATAAGTTAACTATCGTAATATATTAACAAACAAAAATATTAAAACATGTGAAATATAAGTTAAAATGTTACCTTTAACTTCATATCCAGAAATCCATGTCCTGGTGCATATCAAAGACTCTACATTCTCCGATAAAAGTGAACTTCGATATTTACTGAGCACTTTGCTACCAATACTGAAACTGGATTCCGAAGCAACAGTCATTATTGGTATACTCATCACATCACGGGCCATCATCGAAAGTATCGGGTATCGATCACTATTTTTCTTCCAATGGTCCAGGATATCCAAATTGCAAAATTTGATGTGATCAAACCTTGCCTCTCCCAAATAAGTATCCAATTCGGACTTCTTAGTAGCACTAAAGTCATTCTTGTAGTAGTCAAATTCCTGCACCATTTAAATATTTAAATTTAATAAAGCAAAATTACAAAATAAAGAAAACCTTATTAATCACAAGAATATAAAAATATTTAGGGAGTATTGACTTACACAAATATCATCTCCAATGATATTAGGATTACTAGCCTATACTCAAGGATCGCTGGGACCCTCATTGCCACTTAGATCCTCATAAGCATAAAAAAACCTATACAACTCCTACTTGACCAACTCCAACTTTCTTGTTGCAACTACTAGGCCATCAACTTTTTTGTAACAAAACTCAACAAACTCAAACTTGAAACGTGGGTCCAGAATTGCTACAATTGCTAACACAACAGTATAAGAATCCCAATATTTGTCAAATTTTCCTTTCATTTGACTTGCCATGGTACTAAGAACTACATCCTCATTTTCCATCTCTTCGTATAAACACACTTGAGCTCTCCACACATTTCTGAGATACAAGTTTGCTGTGGGGTATTGGGAACCCGAAAAAAGAGTAGTGATCTCATAAAATGGTTGCAAGAACTTGCAAATCCTCACCCCCTCCCCCCCATCCCATTCTTCATCTGAAGGACAACTTTTATAATTGGGATCTATCAGTGCCAAATGAACAAACACATGACGGTATATTAACGCACTTTCAAGCATTAAATAAGTGGAATTCCATCTCGTGGGAACATCCATTCGCAATCCTTTTGAGCTTATCACACCAATTTTTTTAACAAGTTCTCCAAACTTGATTCTTTTAGCCTCACTTCCTTTTAACATATTTCACACTTTCATGAATTTTATGCAAAGCCACGCTGCTCACCTTTAACCCTTCTTGGACTATGAGATTCAAGATATGTGCACAACATCGCACATAAAAAAAAGAACCATCACATAATAAAACATTTTGCACACAAAGTTGACTCCTTAAAATGTCTTCCATTTTATCATTGTTTCTTGCTGTCTAATGTAAGAGAGAAGACTTTCTTTTCAATCCCCAATCTTTTAAGAAATCATACACTATGTCTGACAAAAGAGCCCCCGAGTGTGGAGAAGGAATATGACAAAAATTCATAATTCTACTTTTTAACTCCCAGTTCTCATCAACATAGTGAGCCATTAAAGAAATATACCCATCAGTAGTATAAGAACTCCAAATATCAGAAGTCAAGCATCAAGCATATTCTACCCGAAACCCTCTCTAAAGCAAGCTTGATCTTTTCCTTCTCCCTATAATATATCTTTAGGCAATCCGCCTTAGCGGTGTTCCTAGTATAATGCTTAACTTCATGATTCAAATATATGTGGACATCCCTAATTCCTTCATGCTCCACTATTGAATATGGGTAATTATGTTTTATGATTCCTATTGCCATCTTCTCACGATAAATTTCTTGAGAAATCTTCAAACGTCTCAATTTAGTATCACAATCCATCATCATTTGATCTACACTACTAGTAATGGTACGTTTAGGACAACCTTCCATATGGCGCCTCAAATTCTTAGTCTCATGACTGGAACTACCATGTGCATAAGACTTATCACAAATCATACACTTTGCCCTCACCTCCCCATTATCTTCTATATATGTTGTAAATTGACCCCAAACATCTGAAACTTTACGTCTTTTTGGACAAACAGTACTACCAGTAGAAGGAAGTTTACCTACGGCTACATTATGACCCGTTCCTAAATATGTAGACTCCTTCATACCAAGTCAATCTAAAGGATACAACAAAGTATTTACATTTAAATTAATTAACCAATCATAATTCATAATAATTCGTCCAAAAAAATAAAAACAATCCCATATATTTTACAAGCAAACCAGCCTTACCAAATGACTGGATTTTTCCAACTCAACAATCAACACCCCTTAACTCCAATAACCAATCATAATTCATAACAATTCATCCAAAAAAAAAAAAAATTATAATGTGGTATATGCTGTGAAATTGTGAATCATCATTATTTGAGTCAAAAGAAAATAAATATTTGAGCAGAGGCCAAGATTTGAGTAGGGGTTCACTGGTTCAACATGCAAATGCAATCAATATTTTATTTGAGCAGGGGCCAAAAAGTGTCTTATTTCTTTAAATTATAAAAGGAATTATCTTATTACTATTTTAAAATATGTAAATATAAAAAATTTATTTTCAAAACTTTTTAAGCCTCCCTCACGTCACGTTTAAGCTGTCAATTTTCAACTTCCTAATTGGCTGGTGTGAGTTTTTTTTTTTAATTTAATAATGAGTTTTGTCTTCTCTAGTTTTAATTCAATTGATTGGAGAAAAATAAAAGTTACGAACATGAAAGACTCTCCATACAACAACAACAACTTAACAAGTCAACAATACGGGATCCACCATCAGTTCCATGCTTTATAAGTTTAATAACAACAAAGATTCTATTAAAAAACACCTTACCTGCCGTGTTGCTGCTGCCATGAGAGAAGACACCTGCTGCTGCCATGAGAGAAGACACCTGCTGTTGCCGTGAGAGAAGAGATCTGCTGTTGCCGTGAGAGAAGACAAATGCTGCTGCATTGACCTAACTGTTGTGCTGCCATGTTACTGCTATCGTGAGAGAATGAGTTGTGCTGCTGTTGCTGCCATGAGAGAAGACACCTGACTATTGTGCTGCCGTGAGAGAATGAGTTTTGCTACTGCTGCTGTGCTGTTGCTGCCGTGCTGTTGCTGCCGTGAGAGAAGTGAGAGAATGAGGGAATGGAGCTGCTGTGAGAGTGAGAGGGTGAGGGAGTGGAGCTGTTGTGAGAGGAGTGGTCGTGGTCCTCATGGAGCTGCTGTGAGAGGAATGGTCGTGGAGCTGCTGTGGCCTGTAAGAGAATGAGCTGTTGCGTTTTTTGTGTTTTTCACTCATAAGTTTTCGTTTAGATTAGGGTTTGACAGTGAGACTTTGAGTGATAAGTTTTTTCAATGAATGATTAAATTTTTTTTTTTTAATTTCAAATTTGCGGGTCCGCGGGTACTCGCAAGTAATACTCGGTCCACCCACAAAAGTCACGGGTGGGCCATGTACGGGTCAAATTCTTATGGGTTGAGGTATGTGTAACCCGTACCCGCCTGTTGGGTGCAGGTACTCGTTGACCCGCGGGTACGGGTGGGTATTTGGCTAGTCTAGTGCTAACAAAACCACAGTGGTAGATTTTGAAATTCCCCCTGTTCTTTTTTACCTTTCTGAAAATGCTTAATGCGTCTAAACCTAATCTTTTAGTGGGCCGATAAGAGTTATAGGGCCAATAACTGGGCTTTCAACAATTAGTATAAATATACTGCATTTCCCCTCCTAGCGTCTTCGAGAATACGAGAAATTAAAAATATACAGAAATGGAAGAACTGAGAAAGCTGGAACAAGTACAGAGAACGATGTCATTCATGCAAACTCGTGGCTTTGTTTCAAACAATCAAGATTCCGATCGCTTTCTGGCCAATCTCATTCTCCTCTTGGTATTCAATTTTAACTTCAACTTTTCTTTGCTTTCTCTCTTATACATTATGTGGTTATACTAAATACTAATTAATTCAAGGTACAACCCTGTGGAGAACTCATCTTTGACAAGAAGTGCAGCTTGATTTCAAAACACTTGCCCAGCGTCAGTGTTTCTTTTCCTTTTTAATTACTTGTGCTTATGTTACTATAAAGTTTGATGAAACGTCTCTTATGTCTTTAGGAGAAGTTTATCTCGTTTTTAGGAAGGTTATTTTGATGAATTTTGTAATTAGTTAGGTGTAGTTAGGAATATGATTTTTTTTTCCCTTTAATTTTTTTTTTTTTTTTTTTTTTGGCAGCTTTCAGCTTCGTTTCTTGAGGAAGCATCACTGTGGCTGAGTCAGGATGGTATATGAATAGTGCTTGTTTATTGCATTCGCTCTGGATGAAGTGTTAAAAGTATGAATAAAACTTTCACTTTCTTGCAGGCACTCAACAAAACTGTATTCCAAGTAGTATTGTAGAAGAGAGTGAGTGCGATTTGTTGCCAAGTAATTATGATGACAGACCTATGGTTGGACTTGATGCTATGCAGCGAGCGAATTCTACGCTTGAGGATTTTGTATGCACTTATTTGTTCTTACAAAATATTGCTTGATTTATTTAGCTTAGTTGAAATCTATAATTCTTTTATTAAGTAGATTTCTATGACCGTTTCATAAATCTGACTGAATTGGAATTGATAAATGTAACATATCAAACTGAACCTTGCTAATTTAGTAATGAACTTGAATGGATCAACAGTGCAGATCTTATCTCATGTTTCATGAAATGGATGCTAGCAGTCCACAAGCAATATTCAAATATTTGCCGGTGCTGTCATTCACAGAAAGTTATATATATCAGGTAATAATCTGTAATAAATATATTGAGTGATAACCCTTTTAATAACATGAAGAACATTGGGAAATAATTTATTGATTTTGTCAGCTGTTATTATGGCTGCCAAAACACTTTTTTCTAAAGCCAAGCAAATGAGCTGTGCATGGCCTGTGCTTAAACCTTTTTTCTGGAAAACAAAACGAACATTCTAATGTTAGAATGAATTTTTTTCTCAACTTTTGCACCAGTAAATCTTTGATATTGAGTATCATGCTTGTTTTATCTTTTTATCTCTCAGCAGTCTTAATGAAGCTGATTAGTTTGTTGGAAATAATTCTTGATGTGCCAACAGTGGACCCTAGCATGCTTATTTTTTCCTTTTACCCCTCAACAGTTTTTTTTTTTCTTCATGCAGCTGGATACTTTGAATGAAAAAATTCTTGATGTGCCAACCAATGATTTTACTAGAGGATCTGAGGTCTAATTCTTAAGACTTTGGGAGCTTCAACCACAAAAACCTTGTAGTTGTTAATCAACTGTAACCTAACCTATGTGGTTACCTTTATGATGCAGGCAATAAATCATAGACAGGTTTCAAAGTTAACGGATGTGTTCAAAACTGTTCCATTCAAACAACTTGTTGGTCTGCTAGAACATCATGGCCTTTTGACAGAGAGGTAAAATTACTCACTCTGAATGTATTCTTTTGCAAATAAGAAAGGAGTTCAAGTCTGAATCTGAATTTTGTTGATATTATCTTTGCTTCATGGATGAAGGATCAGAGAAGAATTAAGATTTGGAGAAGAGTATTGGGCTCTGGAAAGAAAGTTATGTTGGGAATTGATGAGCAAAAAGCAAGTACGTATGTTAGTGGGGTCATTTCTGATCAATGATTTATGTTCATGCTATTTATACATATTCTCTTTTTGCCGACAGTTCCTTTACTTAATAATTGCTTAAGTTAGTGATACTTATGAGACACTCCATAGGGAAAGTTTGTTGAGCCTTGCTAGGTAGTCATTTGCAAAAGTCATTTTGTTCTGTTACTTTTAACTTTTAACTTTTTCATTGTAGATTTGAGTTTACTGGGTTTTTAATATTAATTTCAAATATCTATATATCTGCCTAAAAATAAGGAGTGTCTGGCAAGATGTCATCTTCATGAATTGGGACTCTAAATTCTTATCTTTCCTGTTAATGCACTTTGAGTTTGTGAAGTTATTAGTCATGTGCTTCGGCGGAACTAGTAAATTGCTTTTTGCTTTTCTTCTTTTGTTTCTCCGTTTGTTCTTTTACTTTTCGTGTTATAGAGACATGATTAACTAACTCAAATATGGCAAGAATAAAGTTTATTTTCTAAATTTTAGGGATTTATTGTTGTCAACACAATCCATTGACCCTAAGAATAGGTTGTGCTATCAAACACTTAGACGTGTTGCAAACAATTCCAAATCATACATGAATCTTGGAGTTGCTGAAGATAAGCAATGATTGAATTAGTCTGGCAAGTTGTCTAGTCCTTTCTAATCAATCTACTTTGCAAACACCATGAAATTGGTGTTCCACTCCACATCTTATTTAACCAGAGATAGTCCATATAAAAGGAAACGTGAACTTTACAAACTGTTTTAATAATATGATTTTTGTGTTGATTGAATTGCTGTCATGAACACTCTTTCTTGTACATTTTTTTTTTTCTCTGTGTAGTTAAAGTTCTATGGCGTAAGATATTGATATTTGTTCAGTATAATCGAATGGATTTCTTTTCTGTTTTTCTTTTTCTTTCTCAAATGTGAAGAACTTGTGTTATTGTAAAGCCTTGGCATGCTCAAGAATAATAGTTTGATTAAAAACTGAAAATCTTTTTCCAGGTATCTATTGAAAATGTTATGAGAGCAATTCATCTAAAATCATTTGATTATCGGGTGCTGAATCTTCTGTTGTATCAGTTGAGAGGAGAAAAGGTAATTTTTGTTTGCATATTATATCTCTAGTGGATATATTTTTGTTTTACGAAAATTGTATACTTCACATCTGTGAAGAAATATTTTCTTGTATATTCATAATGAGATGTACAATGAATTTATAGCAAAAACAAAAAACTAATCTAGGAAGAAAATAATTACATTCCTAATATAATTGATCTGATTCCTAACCTAATATAGAGAATAATCTTATTTCCTATTTTACACTTCATCACCTATTTTACATTTCAACACTCCCGCTCAAGCTTGAGCATATAAGTTATATGCACCAAGCTTGTTACAAATAAAATCAACACGAGAACCCTTGAGAGACTTAGTGAGGATGCCTGCTAACTGGTCGTTGGAACTGACATAACTAGTTGCAATATCCCCTAATAGAACTTTCTCTCGAACAAAGTGACAATCTATCTCTATGTGTTTAGTCCTCTCATGAAACACTGGATTTGAAGCAATATGAAGGGTAGCCTGGTTATCACAGGGTAACTTCATTTGTGATACTTCGACAAATCTCAACTCTTGAATTAGTTGTTTTAACCAAACAAGCTCACAAATGGCCACAGCCATTGCACAATACTCTGCTTCAGCACTTGACCTTGTAACAACCGCTTGTTTCTTACTTTTCCATGAAACTAGGTTTCCTCCAACAAGGACACAAAAACCTGAGGTAGAACGTCTATCAGATGGAGATCCTGCCCAATCAGCATCTGAATATCCGATAATATGTGAATGACCCTTATTTTCATACCGTAAGCCTCTACCTGGTGCTCCCTTGATATACCTTAAAATCCGAACAACTGCATCCCAATGACTATTACATGGAGTTTGAAGGAACTGACTTACAACACTGATAGAAAAGGAAATATCAGGTCGGGTGATAGTAAGATAGTTAAGTTTTCCAACAGTCTTCGATACCTTCCAAGATCAGTAAGAGGCTCCCCCTGTCTAGGTGAGAGTTTTAAATTAGGATTCATAAGAGAATCTATTGGTGTGTAATCTAACATCCTTGTTTCCTCTAGAATATCCAATGCATACTTCCTCTGAGATATAACAATACCAGATTTGGACTGAGCGACTTTTATGCCAAGAAAGTATTTGAGTAGCCCTAAGTCTTTCGTCTGAAAGTGTTTGAACAAGTGTTGCTTCAACTGTCCAATGCCATCTTGATCACTCTCTGTAATGACAATATCATCGACATAGAAACCAGATAGATACATTGCCCTGGTGATGTATGTCTATAGAAAACAGAGTGATCAGACTCACATCGAGTACTACCAAACTCTTGAATAACTGTACTAAATCGTCCAAACCAAGCATGAGGAGACTGTTTGAGGCCATATAGAGAACGACGAAGTTTACATACCAAACCAGACTACCCCTGAGCAACAAAACCAGGAGGTTGCTCCATATAAATATCTTCGTGAAGTTCACCATGAAGAAAAACATTCTTAATATCCAACTGATGCATAGGCCAATGTCGAATGGCAGCCATAGCAAAGAACAACCGGACGGAAGACATCTTAGCAACAGGGGAAAAAATGTCAAAATAGTCTATCCCATAGATCTGAGTGTATCCTTTGGCCACTAAATGAGCTTTCAGCCGATCAACCTTACCATCTGGACCAACCTTGACAGTATAAATCCACCGACAACCAACAGTCGAATGGCCAGGAGGTAAGGAAACTAACTCCCAAGTATGATTATGATGCAAAGCTGACATTTCATCAACCATTGCCTGACGCCACTTAAGGTGAGAAAGTGCCTCATGAACAGTGCAAGGAACAGAAACAGAAGATAGGGTGGATACAAAGGCATAATATGAAGGATATAAACGATGATAACTCAAAAAAATTGTAGATGGGATGAGGGTTGCATGTAGACCGCATACTTTTACGAATAGCAATGGGAAAGTGATCAACTGGAGATAGGACCGTGGCATTGGAGGAATCGGGCACGACCTGCAGTGATAGGGATCTCAGGAACGACAACGGGAACATCAGGATCACCTGTAAAAGGAACAAAACTATTATCGACAGGAAGAGTGGTATTAGTAGTAGATTGAGGTATCGAAACAGACGAAGGTGGGAAAGCAACGTATAGAATTGGTAGAACATCTACTATTGGATTAGACTCCAGTGGAGGATAAGGAAAAAATGGAGAAGACTTAAAGAACATAACATTAGCAGAGATGAAGTAGCGATGTGTGGCGGGAGAATAACACTTGTAGCCCTTCTGAAGACGTGAATACCCTAAGAAAATACATTTCGTAGACTTGGCAGACAGTTTATCCTGACCAAGAGAGAAAATGTGAACAAAACAGGTGCTCCCAAAGACACGCGGGGGAAGAGAAAATAATGGAGTATCAGGGAATAATATGGAGTGTGGAACCTGGTCTTGCAAGACAGAAGAAGGCATGCAATTTATTAAGTAACAAGCGGTTAGAACCGCGTCAGCCCAAAACCGGAAAGGGACGTGGCTATGTAAAAGAAGAGTGCGAACACTTTCAATGAGGTGTCTATTTTTACGCTCAGCAATGCCATTCTGTTGGGGACTATAAGCACAAGAAGACTGATGAAGAATTCCTTGAGATGTCATGCATTTAGTAAAGGAATCAGAGAAATATTCATGAGCATTATCACTTCGTAATATACGAATGGTAGTATTATGTTGAGTCTTAATTTCAGCACAAAATGATGAAAATATGGAAAATAATTCAGAACGAGAGCGCATAAGAAATAACCAAGTGCAACGAGAATAGTCATCAATAAATGTAACAAAATATTTAAATCCCAAAGTAGAGTTAACACGACAAGGACCTCACACATCTGAATGCACTAACTCAAAGGGGGATGCAGCCCGTTTATTGACACGCGTTGAAAAAGAACTACGAGTATGCTTTCCAAGCTGACACGACTCACAACTCAAGAACGATAATTTAGATAGACCTGGGATCATTTTCTGAAGTTTGGAAAGACTAGGATGGCCCAAACGATTATGAAGGAGATCCGGAGACTCGGAAACAATGCATGTTGTAGATGGGATATGGAGATGATAGAGACCTTGTGACTCACGCCCTGTGCCAATTATCCATCCCGTGTCGCGATCGTGTATAACAACAGAGTTAGTATCAAACCGAATAGAGCAATTTAAGGAGCGGGTAAGTTTACTGACAAACACGAGATTAAATGGACATTTGGGAATATAAAGCACAGAGTCTAATGCTAATGAGGGGAGGGGTTTTGCATATCCAATAGCTTGAACATTGGCTTTAGACCCATTGGCTAAAGTAACAGGAGGTAAAGATACAGTATTTGTAATCTGAGTAAGTAAACGAGGGTTACCAGAAATATGATCCGAGGCACCTGAATCTAGGACCCAAGGTCCTAAAGCGAAAGATTGAGAAAGGCAAGCAACTGAATTACTCGTTTGAGCGACGAAGGCAATAGATGAAGAAGACTGCTTACTTGCCTGATACTGTAAGTATTCATCATAATCAGTACCTGTGAGAGTTAAGGAGGGTTGAGCCGGCACTCTAGAGGACTCGGAATGAAGATCAGAGTGATCAGCCTGAGCAATATTAGTAGCTCGGGTAGGTCGACCACGTAACTTAAAACATTTCTCTCTGGTATGTCCCCACCGATGACAGTAACTACACTTGGGCCGATTTCCTCTGCCACTTCGATCGCCCTGATCTCTAAAAGTGTGGGACTGAGAAACAAGGACCGAAGAGTCACTTGGGGAATGCACAGTAGTAGGGGAGGAAACCCGAAGTAATCTGGCAAACACTTCATCAAGGGAAGGCACGGTGGATCCAGAAAGAATTTGATCTTGAACAGATGTAAGATCTGGACCTAAAGTTACAAGTGTCAGGACCATAAAGAATTTGTCCCATTGAGCCAAATCTTCTGTCGCTGATTTACCAGCTGGTAACAGCAGATTGAATTTTGTCTTAAGGGAAGCCATCTTACCAAGGAAGTCCGACATATTCATATCCTGTTGTTTGAGATGAACTAGGTTGGACACAACAGAATATAAATGTTGAATGTCATTTGTATAGAGAAGTTTAGCCTGACTCCAAATATCAACACAAGAGTGGTAAGATTTGTAAATAGGGTGAAGGGGGGGATCAATAGTTTGCCATAACATGCTACACAGCATAGCATCAATTTTAGTCCAAGAAGACTTATCTGACGTAATATCAGCAACTTTGGTGGCCAAGTGATCCTTCAGACCTTGACCCATACACCATAATTCGACAAAGGCAGCCCATGATGAATAATTAGCAGTCCCAATTAATCGCTCAGTGATGATGGGAGGGAGAGATAAAAAAGAAAAACCACTTGGATGCGAATGAGAGGCTGTTTTTGAAGAATCCATGAAGTCTTGAAACTGACAGAAAAAATAGAAACTTACGCTTGCCGGAAAAAAACTGAACACTCGTCGGAAAAACAGAACACTCGCCGAAAAACAGATCGGACTAGAAGCTGACGGAAACACCTTGAAGGGGTTTGCCGTCGAGGTGGAGAGGAACAAGATGCCGGTGGTGGTGAGAACTCACGCTCGCTGGAAAAGCAGATTGGAGGAGGGGCTGCTGAAAAAACGATCGACGCGTGAGAGCGCGTGCAGCGGCAGTCGACGACGAAACCACTCGGGTTAGGACGACGAGGAGAAGACAATCAGTTTGGTGTGATTAGACTAGATTCTGATTGTTGCTGGAGAACAGTCGTCGAAAAAAAAAAAAAAAATCCGAGAAAGAGAGAATTTTTTTTTTGAAATTTCAGACGCCAAGCTTTGATACCATGTAAAGAAATATTTTCTTGTACATTCATAAGGAGATGTACAATTAATTTATAGCAAAAACAAAAAACTAATCTAGAAAGAAAATAATTACATTCCTAATATAATTGATCTGATTCCTAACCTAATATAGAGAATAATCTTATTTCCTATTTTACACTTCAACAACATCATATAACTTTCTCCTTAGATTTTTATCTGAAGCCTTTGTTTCTTTTTGAACTTGTACCTTTTAATAAAACTTCAAATTTCTACTTGTGTGACAACTACACCATGTCATCATAATATGTTGTTGTCTCCTGTTTCATAGTTACATAACCACTTCTTCTTTTGTCTTCTCAAATTGTCATGACATTTATTTTATTGTTATTAGCATTTTTAGTTCATTTGCCTTTTTACCAATGTTTCTCACTCAACATTATAGATCTGATACTCTAGTAGTAGTAGTGCAATTTAGTTCCGTAAATGACACTTTCTTTTTTACTGAAATGCTGCTTTTGTTGTTATTTCTGGTGTGACATTATGTGTTCCACTACTTTTTATTGAAGTCTACTGGAACTGGTATATTTCATTAGGCTAAATGTATTTTCTTTGAAGCTACTGTGAAGGTGAATGACTTGCACATGGAATTTCTTTCAATCTCTGAATTTCTAGTAGAAATATCTGATGATCTGTAAGTATGTTTCTCTTTTTGTTTCTCCACTGATTTTTCCATAGTTCCATGTAAACAAGGGTTTAAGCGATAACCATTTAGTTTGTAAAATCTTCTGACTCTTTATCATATACATTATTTATATTCTAATCATGTGGCAAGCATGATTATTCTTAGTACAGAGTTGCAATGTTGATGCTGCAGGTTTGACTATGAGGTTAGTTCATTGATTGACAAGGTTGTAGCTACTACCGTCCTAGATTCAATAAAACCATATCTGACTCATAGTCATGGTTATTTTCCTAGGATGATGTTTTGGAGAACAATTTTAACATTTTGCGGATGTTTGTCAGAATATATGGACCATCAACAGGCCCAACCATGCTTGTGAGTACATCAATCTGTTCATTTTGTTTCTATTTAATTGTTATTCCTTATAAGAACTGAATTGTCCACTGTTTCTGCTTCCTTTTGAATAACTCTGAACCATTATCCCCGAGGGTTGGTTTCAGTGATTAAGGCCTTTTCGTTTTCTTAAAAAATCAAGAGGTTCAACACTCCTTGGAGACACTTATTTTAACTATTCCCTGAGTTTCCTGACTACAAAGGTTGTAGGGTATAAGTCATTTAAGCTATTGAATATATGGTAACAGTCAGGGAGTTTTTGCCAACCAAAAAAATAAAAATTGAAGAAAAGCATCAAGTTGTTTGTTCTAATATTATAGCCTAACACTTATCATTTTGTTTAAAATTAATGTTTTTGCTTTTAGGCAAAATGCATTACCGAAGCTGAAGAAAAGTACCAAGCTTTACTGAAATCTTTAGACCCTGAACTATCAATTAACTACCAGAGAAGATGCGAAGAAGCTACTAAAGAGGGTAATTTATTGGAATCCAATATAATGTGAAATTAGATTTTTTTTTTTTTTTTCTCCTTTAAATCCTTGGTTGACATTCGAGTTTATGCTTGTCAGGTGGGATGATATCTGGACATCCTCTCGGCACATGGAGTATACCCCCCATAATAGCAGACGAGGAATCATATAGATCCAACTTGTCAAATTTGAAATGAGCGATTCTTCCTCTAAATTGATTCTTCTGATGTTTACGCAATCAGGTTACTAGTTTCATCTAACATGGCAAAGCTCCAATATTACATTTGGATTTGGTTTTGAGACATCAATTTAGTTTTAGTTCTGCTTGACAGTTTGTTTAGAAGGCTGTGCGATAACTAAAACAGGCAGAGTTATTTAGGGATGAAGAATAAAAAAGCGTGTATCATTATCAAGGCTGTGTTTGTTTCAGTTTTGGGAATACTACTTTTAGTATTCCCAAAAAAGTTAAATAGTAAAATACCCAAAAACTCAGATTTTTGGGAATATTACTCCCAATATTATTCAACTTTTTTTAAACCCTTTAAATTTGATAATTTAATTAAATACCCTTAAATATTTTTTTTAAAATTACAAAAACACCCCAATAATCCACATTTACCAGATTCTGGCCACCACCACCGGAAAATGACCAAAATCTGGTAGGATGGCGCACTACCGGCTGAATCTGGCCGGTAGTGCGCCGATCTAGCCTTTTTTGGTCAGATCTACGGTGGATCTGGCTGGAAAAGGCCAGATCTTTGGTCGTAACAGTCTGTCACGACGGCCAACAAACGGTCGTCGTTGACCATCAACGACGACCGTTTGTTGACCGTCGTTGAGAGCAAATACGGCATCTACGGTGGATCTGGCTGAAAAAGGCCAAATCTAAGGCCAAAGATCTGGCCGTTGACGGCCAGATCTTTGGTCGTAACAGTTGGTCACGACGGCCAACAAACGGTCGTCGTTGACCATCAACGACGATCGTTTGTTGGCCGTCGTTGAGAGCAAATACGGCCAGATCTGGCAGTTGACGGTCAGATCTGGCTGTAGATCTGGCCTTTGTCGGCCAGATCCACCGTGGATCTGGCCAGAAAAGGCCATATCGGCGCATGACCGGCAAGATCCAGTCGGTCATGCATCCATAAGGTGACTTCAGCCACCTCTGGTGGTGGTGGCTGACTGGGGGTGTTTGAGGGTGGATTAGGGGTATTTTTGTTAACTTTTAATGTTTTATTAGAGGGGGTATTTTGTAAAAAAATAAATATATAGAGTATTTTATTAATTTATAAATCTTACATCGTAATACCTGTTTAATTTAACTTTTTTTAAAAAAAATTTCTTAAAACCCCCAAATTTTCAACCAAACGGAGCCCAAGCGTTTTAGAGGAGTTTTAACTTTTAACTTTTCCTTAAAAATCTGCTGCATGTACTTTTCAGCTCCATTTAAAGGACTCCAAAATCGAGACAGCCATCCAGGTTGTTTCAGGTTCATTTTTCAGCTTTTTTCTTTTTCAGCATTTGTACTATTTTGTCTTCACTTCTTTCTCTATCTCTTCCTTCCTCTTTGACTGTCCCAGCGCACTAATTCTATTTGTTGCTTTATTGCCATTTTTATATTTATCTAATTTGCCTACACCCACCCAAACAAAGAAAAATATGGCTCTTCTCTTTTAGTTTTCTTGTTGGATGTCATTTTTTATTCTGCTATAAGGTATATATAGATTGGTAAAGACGAGAGCTTAATGATGTTGTGGCATTCCTCATGTAAACTGCACTTTTGTTAAATAATGCTTTAGTTTTTTAATTTCGTAATTCGAGCAACAGCAAATGAATAATGAAGTAGCTGAATTAATGTTTTTGGATTTTATGAATTTATATGTATCACAAATTTATTTATGTTTTATTTTTTAAAAAGGTTCAAGAATAAATTATCAGTATATTGGTAATAATTGAGGACAAAAAATAGCATTTTAATGATTAATTTGGTCAAAATGCTAGGTATATGACTAAAGAATTTATTAGAACCACGCATAAAATTATCTGCATTTTGTTCAGGATTTTGTATTCTTTTTGCAGGTTCTGTTAGACAAACAACGGAACAATCCTGCCAGAGTTAACCCGTACTAATCTTTATACAGCTTCCTTTTAATATTTATTTATTTATTATTGCTAATTTATGTTTATACGCTCATACAATAGTTCATTCTTTGCTTTCATTTATTTGTATTTTGTATGGTACTAACTGGCTTCATCTCCCTTCCAAACTTCAAATTTTGATATTCTTCACATTTTTTATTCATACAAATCTAAGGCCATAATCCAGGGTTAATGAAATTCAATATTTATGATTTAATGATCCAAACTGGTAATGTTTATAAGATATGATAATGGGTTGGTGTAAACTATTTACTGAGAATAAGTATAAACTTTTTATAGGTTGAATTCCATAGTTTGCATGGCTTTTGTATGCTTTGTTAGAGATAATCTATGGCTCCGTTTGATACCCTTTTGGGAATTAGTATTCCCAATAAAGTTAAACAGTGGTTTCGTTTGGCTCAAGTTTGGGAATACTACTTTTAGTATTCTCAATAAAGTTAAACAGTAAAATATCCAAAAACTCACAACATTATCTAATATTATTCAACTTTTTTTAAACCCTCTAAATTTGTTAATTTAATTAAATACCCCTAAATATTTTTTTTCGAAATTGTAAAAACACCCCTAAACCGACATTATACTAGATTCCGGCCACCATTGTCGGAAGTTGGTCGGAATATGGTAGGATGGCACACTACCGGCTGGATCTTACCGGTAGTGCGTCGATCTAGCCTTTTCCGGCCAGATCCATAGTGGATTTGATCGGAAAAGGCTTGATCTAAGGCCAAAGATCTAGTCGTTGACGGTTAGATCTTTGGCCGTAACCAGTCGTCAACGACGGCCAACATATGGTCGTCGTTGACCATCAATGACGGCCGTATCTTTGGTCGTCGTTGACCATCAATGACGGTCGTATCTTTGGTCGTCGTTGACGAAGATCTACGGCCAGATCTGGCATTTGCCGACTAGATCCACGACCATATTGGCGCACGATCGGCAAGATCCAGCCGATCATGCGCTGATACGGCGACTCCGGCCACCCTCCGACGGTGGTGGTCGGCTGTTCGTATTTGATGGGTGGGTTGAGAGTGTTTTTATTAACTTTTAATGTTTTATTATAAGGGTGTTTTGTAAAAAAAAAAACATATGGGGTATTTTATTAATTTATAAATCTTACATCGTAATACCCGCCCAATTCAACTTTTTTTTAACTTTTTTCAAAAAACTTTTTCCAAAATCGTAAAAATGTGAACCAAACGGAGCCAGTAAAATTGTAAAAACTCACAAAATTATTCAACTTTTTTTAAACCCCTTAAATTTGTAAATTTAATTAAATATTTCTAAATTTTTTTTAGAAATTGCAAAAAGACCCCAGCAACCCATATTTACTAGATTCTGGCCACTACCGTCGGAAAATGACCGGAATTTGGTATAATGGCGCACTACCGGCTGAATATGGCCGGTAGTGCGCTGATCTAGCCTTTTTCGACCAGATCCATGATGGATCTAGCCGAAAAAAGCCAGATCTAAGGCCAAAGATCTGGCCGTAGCCAGTCGTCAACGACGGCCAACACATGGTCGTCGTTGACTATCAACGACGGTCGTATCTTTGGCCGTCGTTGACGAGAAAATACGACCAGATCTGGCCGTCAATGGCCAGATCTAGCCGTAGATCTGACCTTTGCTAGCCAGATCCACCATGGATTTGGTCGGAAAAGGTCATATCGGTGCATGACCGGCAAGATCCAACCGGTCATGCGTCGATACGACGACTCCGGCCACCCTTCGGCAATAGTGGTCGGCTGTCCATATTTAATGGGTGGGTTGGGGGTGTTTTTGTTAACTTTTAATGTTTTATTATAGGGGTGTTTAGTAAATAAACAAATATAGGGGGTGTTTAGTAAATAAGCAAACATAAAGGGTATTTTTATTTATTTCCAAATCCTACATTATAATACCCGTCCAATTCAACTTTTTTTAACTTTTTTCCAAAAACTTTTCTAAAAAGTGTAAAAAAGTGAACCAAACGGAGCCTATGATTTTAAGAATATATGTTATATTCATCCAATCTTGATATATGTTGTTGGNTGCTTTAGTTTTTTAATTTCGTAATTCGAGCAACAGCAAATGAATAATGAAGTAGCTGAATTAATGTTTTTGGATTTTATGAATTTATATGTATCACAAATTTATTTATGTTTTATTTTTTAAAAAGGTTCAAGATTAAATTATCAGTATATTGGCAATAATTGAGGACAGAAAATAGCATTTTAATGATTAATTTGGTCAAAATGCTAGGTATATGACTAAAGAATTTATTAGAACCACGCATAAAATTATCTGCATTTTGTTCAGGATTTTGTATTCTTTTTGCAGGTTCTGTTAGACAAACAACGGAACAATCCTGCCAGAGTTAACCCGTACTAATCTTTATACAGCTTCCTTTTAATATTTATTTATTTATTATTGCTAATTTATGTTTATACGCTCATACAATAGTTCATTCTTTGCTTTCATTTATTTGTATTTTGTATGGTACTAACTGGCTTCATCTCCCTTCCAAACTTCAAATTTTGATATTCTTCACATTTTTTATTCATACAAATCTAAGGCCATAATCCAGGGTTAATGAAATTCAATATTTATGATTTAATGATCCAAACTGGTTATGTTTATAAGATATGATAATGGGTTGGTGTAAACTATTGACTCAGAATAAGTATAAACTTTTTATCGTTTGAATTCCATAGTTTGAATGGCTTTTGTATGCTTTGTTAAAGATATTCTATGATTTTAAGAATACAATAAGAATACACGTTATATTCATCCAATCTTGATATATGTTGTTGGATGGTAAATTTATGCAAGTTGAATAAACGCCACGTGTTCCCAAGGTGCCTATCATCAGAACGCGTGTCAACTCCTTAAAAAGACAACTTATTTAAGAAGTCAGTCGCCTCTCAAAAGTCATATGTTGGTCCGTATGAGAAAATCTTCACCGTTAAAGCTACAAGTTGTCCTCCAAGCTACGTATCAACTCACATGACCAAAGAATGCAATGTCATATGTCTAAGTTGTATGTGGATTACTTCATATTTAAGATCATTCTCGGAACACTATAAATAGGGGTCTCCACCCCAAATCAATGATTAATCTTCTGATTTTCTAAATAGATATAGAGCAGTTATTTCTATAGAGCAAATATCTTTTATAAACACATAAATAAAATAACAATAGACGTAGGAATTGCGCTTTGCATTTGAACTATTTTAAAATCTGTTTTTGTCTATTCTTTCATTTGTTTTCACGCACTATTTTTATTATCACTTATAGGTTTAACATCATATTTCGTTTCTTAGTCTCTCATAGGCTCATTGCGTAATCCTTTTTAAAGCTAGTGTACCTCTCATTG